TGCTTTACAGCTGAGCTCGGTGACAGCTCCATGACTCTCTTCTGATCCCGATTTTGTAGGTGAGAAACTGGAGGTGAGAAATTAAGTAATCTGCCCAAGGGCACAGCTAGGCTTTTGCCCTGGGCAGTGTGGCACTTGTCACGCCCCCCTCTCATTCAGTAAACCTAAGGTCTGGGCAAACTGACCAGAGTTCTGGACCAATTCCTGACCTCAGGAGCTGGCCACCTTTTGGCTAATCTCGTAGCCCCTCTGATCCATTAGGCCACTTGACCACAAAACTTTTGTTGACTCTTCTGTGTCAGGCTCTCTGTCAGGTCTGAGCCTCAGTTTCCTCATCTCTAGAATGGGCCAAATGATTATGCCTATGGCTCCTGCCTATTGTGGGGACTGGAGAAGGTGCTGGGAACACAAAGGCTTGATGAGGAGCTCAGCGAGGGCTGTATCGCTGCCAGTTCCTGGTCGTGAGTGGAGGCCTTTGAAGAACCGTCGGCTTCCCTGACCTTAGTCTGTGCCTGGCTTGTGTCTTCATCTTGACATCAACTCTGTCCCTTCAATTCCCCCGGTGGGAGGGAGAAAGGAAAAGGACCCTAAGTTTCTATTTGTTGTCCGTGAGCGGAGGGGGAAGGAGGGCTGACACCACACAAAACGCTGGAGGCCAGGAGAACCAAGTTCTTATTAGTGTCCCAACTCTAAAAACCTGCATAGCTTTGGGGTGGCTGGTGGGTCAGTAAGTTGAGCCTCCGACTTCGGCTCAGGTCATGATCTCACACTCTGTGAGTTCGAGCCCTGCGTCGGGCTCTGTGCTGACAGCTCGGAGCCTGGAGCCTGCTTCGGGTTCTGTGTCTCCCTCTCTCTCTGCCCGTCCCCTGCTCAAGCTCTGTCTCTCTCTCAAAAATAAATAAACGTTAAAAAAAATCTGCTTGACTTTGACCAAGACCACATTCCTCTGAACCTCAGTTTCCTCTGCTGCAAACTAGGAGGGATTTTTCTGACCCTTGCACCAGGGCTGAGTGAGATACTGAGATAATGTGTGTAAACCGTGAGGTTAAATGGGTTTTTATCGACGGGTCTGCTTTGTGTCTCAGGCCACGTGTGGTCAAAAGAGAATGGGCTCCAGGTTGGTTTGGCTCCAGAATCTGTTCCTTACTAGCTGGAACCGTGGTTTTCTTCTGTAAAATGGGGATAATGGTAGAGTGGTCAGGTCGTGTGACTCGCTGCCTTCCATGCACATAGTAAGATTGCGTGTGCTGGCCCCCTTGTGATCCGGTGGCACCACGTGACTAGCTGTGGCCAAAAAAGTGCAGGCAGGAGTGACACGTGTCACTTTCAGGTTGGAATCTTTAACTGCTTGAATCCCGTCTTCTTTTTTGTGTCTTGGCCAAACCGTATGGAGACAGGGCCTCCCTCAGCCTGGGTCTTTGAGTAAAGGACAGCAGAGAACAGAGCCCCCTAGGTAATGTACATATTGTGAGCAAAAATAAACCCTTTTTTTTATTTCAGCCAATCATATCGTGGGTAGCCATTTGTTACCACAGCGTAATTTTGCCTCTCCTGACCAATGCAAATCTCTCCTTTCCAAGGTGGTTGTGAAGGTTCCAGGGGAGGTACGTGCACCGTTCTTGCCTGTCTCCCTCTCTCTCTGCCTCAGACATTTAAAAGAAAAGAACTATGGGGCGCCTGGGTGGCGCAGTCGGTTAAGCGTCCGACTTCAGCCAGGTCATGATCTCGCGGTCCGGGAGTTCGAGCCCCGCGTCGGGCTCTGGGCTGATGGCTCGGAGCCTGGAGCCTGCTTCGGATTCTGTGTCTCCTCCTCTCTCTGCCCCTCCCCCGTTCATGCTCTGTCTCTCTCTGTCCCAAAAATAAATAAAAAATAAATAAATAAATAAATAAATAAAAGAAAAGAACTAAAAAAAAAAACCAAAAAGCAAAACAACAGGTGGCTTCAAGTCCCAGTTTTGCCTTTAGCTCTCTGAGTGGCCTTGAACAAAATTCTTAACTCTATAAAAGGGCCTTTCCAACAGGGGTTTCCGTGACAGTTACAGAGGGCAGGGTGAGAGGAAGTGTTTCATTGTGGTATCTGGAGTCAGGCACCAGGGTTCCAATCCTGCTGGTACCATTATTAGCTGCTGCGAGACCTTGGGTAAGTCATTCAACGTCTTTGCACCTCAGTTTCCTCATCTACAAAATAGGGATAATAGGAGTACCTCCTTTAAAGGGCTACTGCGAAGATTAAATAAATTAATGTACCTAGATGCCTAAAAGATTGCCTGACACACAGTAAGCATTCTATAAATTTGAGCTTTTATTATTACCTATTTGCCAACATATAATAGGGGTTGGGAGCCCTGACGTGGTCTCATTAGCTGTGTGACCTTGGGCTGTCATATTACTTCTCAGAGTCTTTCCTTCCTCCTTCATTAAACAAGGACACTGCCACCTGCCCTTAGACATCCTGGGAGGATTAAGGGAGGATGTACGGCCATTGTTGGGCCTAGCCAGCTATGATGATTAAGGCAGAAAGAAACACCCAACACGGGCTAAGTGCTCCATCACTGTTTGTCCCTCTGCCGTCCATCACCTTGTGCTGTCTCTCCTCTAGCTTCCACATTTGCACCCTATTCAGTTCGGGGGTGTTCTTCTGGGCCAGGGCTGGGGCGAGGCAAGTGAGGTGCGAGGGCCTGCCCTCCCCATTCTACAGAGGGGCAAAGCAAGGTGCCGCCAGGCGAAGGGTTCACCTCCTGACCCAGGTGCAGCTGGCACCCACGCTGGGGCAGGACGTCATTCTCCACACTCCCCCTAACGGTCCCCCCCCCCCCCCCCCCCGGTCGCAGAGGCCACCGTCCTGCTGGCGCCCGAGCAGGCCTGCTGCTCCCCGCCTGCGCTTTGTGGCGGGGTGGCGAGTGCAGCAGCTGGGCTCCCTGGGCCAGGTGGCGGAGGGGCGCGTTTCTCCCCTGGGCATTGGCAGCCACTCTGGTTACTTCCTTGGATTTCCTCACTCCCCAGGCTCTGCACCGGGTGGGCGTTTGGGGGTGGTGAAGTCCTCAGAGCCGTCACTGTCCCCTGCCGCTCCCGGGCCCAGAGGTGCCGCCTGAGCTGGGTGGCCCCGACCGGGGCCGCCATGGACAGACGAGGGCCTCAGAGAACCTGTCCCCAGAGGCCACGGGGAAATTTTGAGACTCTGACCCTGAAGAGTGAGCTGAAGGCCGGGAGCTGCTTACAGCCGCAAGGTAGGGAAGGCCTGAGGCCCAGGGAGCCCTTCCTCACACGCGCACCCGTGGGTTCCCTACCAGGGAGCAGTAGGAGGGGGCTCTCTGGGGGCCACGAAAGGCACCAGACCCGTCCCACAGTACATGAGGACGGATCCCTGACTCAGGCCTGGCCTGATGCTGAGGCTCCGTCCAGCTCAGAGCAGAGCCACAAACCTGGGGTCCCTGGAGGCTGAGCAGGGAAATGAGGAATGGCAAGACCAACCAAGGGGTGTTGGGACATTTAAATCCTCTTTTTAAAAATATTTTTTAATGTTTATTTATTTTTGAGACAGAGGATGAGGGGAGGAGGGGCAGAGAGAGAGGGAGACACAGAGTCCGAAGCAGGCTCCAGGCTCTGAGCTGTCAGCACGGAGCCCGACGCGGGGCTCGAACTCACGGAACGTGAGATCATGACCAGAGCCAAAGTCGGGTGCATAACTGACTGAGCCACCCAGGCGCCCCTAAATCCTCTTTTTAAAAACAGATGCACCAAACCAGATCTGTATTCCATTGCACAATGTAGCGAGCACAGGGTCAGGCTGCTAGGACCGCCGTGACAAACTGCCACAGGCTGGGCAGCTTAAACACCAGAGATCAATTTTCTCACAGTCCTGGCGGCCGGAAGTCCCAGATCAAGGTCCTGCAGGATTGACTTGTGGTGAGCGCTCTCTTCCTGGCTTGTAGATGGCCACCTCCCCCCTGTGCCTTCACATGGCCTCTTCTCTGCACACATGGAGAGAGAGCAGGACCCCTCTGGTGTCTCTTCTTACAAGGACACCAAACCTACTGGATTGGGGCTCTACTCTTAGGAACTCATCTAACCTTAATGACTTCCATCAAGGTCTGTCCCCAAATATAGTCACATTCGGGGTTAGGGCTTCACTATACGAATTCGGGACGGACCTAAACGTTCCGTCCATAACAAGCATCTACTATATGCCAGCAACATAACTCACAAAGTCCCTGCTGCCCTGGAGCTTACCTTCCTGTGGGTGTGTGCCTGCACATGTGTGTGCACGTGTAGACTGTTATCGGGGACACATGAATGCATGGGTCCATGGGCTCACTGTGACTGGGTCACAGTGTGCAGTGCCTAAGCAGAGTGGTTAACGGTGCAAGTTTTGTAGCCAGAGGGACCTCGGCTCATATCCCGATTCTGCCACGTAAGAGCTGGGTGTCCTCAGGCAAGCGACTCTACCTCTTTCTACCTCAGATTCCTTCCCCATGAAATGGGAAAAATACCTATCCCAGGAGGCTGTCAAAATGACTGAGAATGTTGGTATGAAGTGCTTAATACAGGGTTTGGAATCTGGGATGTGAAAGATACAAGACGGTCATTATCGTTACTGCTCATGAATAAGGAGATCAACTTTGGTTAAGGTGGAGGCTTTGAGTTGGAGACAATCTATCCTGTGAGGCCAGATGTCGGAAGGTCTTAGCCACGGCGGGGCGGGGGGTGTGGATCAGGGAGAGTAGGCACTGTCTGGGTCTGATACATGATGTCTTCTCTGGTGCCCATATTTCGTCCACTCAGTTATTAATTCATTATATTTTCCTTGAATTTATCCGCTATTCTCCCAAAGCCACCGAAATCAGCCGGCACCTTGTGTGCTTTGCAACCTCCACCTTGTCGTGCTGACTGAGTCAGATTGTTTGGGGACAAGACTGGAGGCAGGCAGGGACAGAGAGGTTCTATTTGCGTAGCTGGCTGCCCACCAAACACAGGCATAGGGGCCGACTCCACATCCATAGCACTGTTCTCAGACACAGCCTCCTGCCTGATGGGAGACACTGAACCCACATGTGTGGCAGGACCAGCACGTGGGTGCCCTAGGTGGGAGCTGACTTGGCATGGCCTCAAACACAGACTCTTTACATATTTGTTAAGTGAATTGAGCTGAGCCTGTTCCCTGCATGGTAAAACGCAGGGACCTCTCTGGTGGCTGCTGCGGCCACTCCTGTACTGTGGTTGGCAGTCGAATTTATAGTTGATCTGGAAGAAGAGCATTCTGGGTGGAGGGAAGAGCCAGTGCAAAGGCCCTGAGGCAGGACTGTCTGGACATATATGGAACACAGCAAGGAGGCCAATGCAGTTCGAGCAGAGTGAATGAGAGAAAGGGTGGGTGGATTTGAGACCAAAGAAGCGTGGGATCCAGACTGCAGAGATCCTTGGGGACTGTTGCAAGGATGTGGCTTTTATACTGAGATGGGGAGCTCCTGGAAATGAACGGGTAAGGAGAGGAGACATGACCCTGCTAATTTTTTTTAAGTTTTATTTTTATTTATTTTGAGAGAGAGAGCATGAGCGGGGAAGGGACAGAGGGAGAGGGAATCCCAAGCAGGCTCTGCACTGTCAGCACAGAGCCCGATATGGGGCTTGAACTCACAAACCGTGCTTTCATGACCTGACCCAGTCGGATGCTTAACCAACTGAGACAGCCAGCACCCTCCCCCTCCCCCAGCTAAATTTAAAAAGGATCTTGTGGTAAGCTAAAGCTGCTCCCCTCAAGATGTCTACACCCTACCCCACAGACCTGCAAATAATTCCCTTATATGGCAAAAGGGACTTTAGGTGCGATTAGGGCTAGGGTCCTTGAGATGGTGAGATGATCCTGGATTATCCAGGTGGTCACCCTGATGTAATCACAGATGTCCTTAAAAGAGAGAGGCAGAAGGAGAGACTGCTCCAGAGAAGGAGATGTGGTGACCAAAGCAAGATGTTGGCAGCCTCCAGAAACTGGAAAAGGCAAGGAACAGAGCACATTCCTAAGCCTCCAGCATGAACCAGTCTGCTGACTTCTTGACTTTAGCTCAGTGAAACTAATTTGGGACTTCTGGCTTCCAGAACCGCAAGAGAAAAAATGTCTGTTGTTTTAAGCCATCAAGTTTGTGGGGGTTTTTTTGTTGTAGCAGCAACAGGAAACTGATACAGATCCATTTGGTTCCTCTGCAGAGGATAAGCTGACAGGGTGTCAGGAGGAAGCAGAAAGGCCTTCCAGAAGCCTCTTTCAATCATCCCCCAGAAAGACAGTGGAGGCATGGGCCAGGGAGGTGGATGTGAAGAGGTGATAAGAAGAAGCTGGATTCTGGGTACGTTTCTGAGGAAGAGCTGGAGTCAACTAGATACAGGGTGGGAGGGAAAAAAAAAATCAAGGATGGTCTCAGGATTTTTGGCAGGAGTAACTGGGAGTGCAGGTGCCATTCACTGAGATGGGGAAGGGTGTGGGGGGGGGAGCAGATTTGATGGGAGTGGGGGTGAAACTGGGAGCTCAGCCTATATGTGTGAAGTGTGAGTTGTTTATTAAACAATCCGGTGGGACTATCCAGGAGACCAGCAGGATATATGAGTCCATTTGAGGGGAGAGGTCCGGTCTCGAGATGTAAATGGGGGGATCTCCAGTCCAGGTCCTTTCTGTCCTTTTCACCAGGGGGAGCTTTGGGTAGTTGTCCTAAAGAGTTGTACTTGGTCCTTTGCACACATCCTACGTCCCCTGTACATTGAGGCCCCGTCATCACAATCCCCATTCTGCGCATGGGCACAGGAGGCTCAGAAAAGAAAGATAAGCTGCCCAAGGTATTCAGGGAAGAAGAGGCAGGGCTGGGATTTGAACCTAGGTCTTTAGGGACACCAGGGGAAAGTTCAAGGGTTAAGCTGGAGACTGGCTAGTTAAAATCATCCCCCCTGTGGCCTAGAAAGGTAGATGCCGTTATTTCCAAGCCATCCTGGCAGTACAATGCCCCTTTCCAAACGGAGCCAGGCTCGGACCTTTTGCTGGGAACCACCAGGTGGGAGGTGGAGGGCACATGGCTGGGAAACCTTGAACTTCATCAAGCCTCGTTATTTCTGAACTTTTTGTCTCAGGCATTGCAAGAACTGATCACTCTGGGGAAACAGGCAGTACACCCACGTGGTACTTGAGAGCCGGGCCCCGGTCAGCTCCCTTTCTGCCTCCCTCCTAGCACTTAATGGACAGTTCCTTACCCACCATCGGTAAAGGGCTTGGGGCTTTAGGCTGATCACGAATTTGGGAGGGGGGGGGGGTGGCCAGCGCCCCAGCCTCTGTCTTCTTTATCCTCTGGTACCTTTGGTCTCCAAGCCTGGCCAGTGGCAGGGAGCCGGTGGGCTCCACGAAGCCCTTATATCTGAGAGAGGTAAGCCAAAAAAGCACGTTTGGGGCTAGAGGGAGGGCCTGGGGGGGGGGGGTTGGGGGGGTGTGATGAGAACTTCTCACTCCGGACCCTGCATCTTGAGCAGATGCCAGAGAGGTGGCTGTCCGCCGAGAATACCTGTCTTCTCCCCCCAGAGAGATGAACCGCCCCCCAGCCTCTGGCAGCAAGAAAGAACCTTTGTTTCTCCTACACTGAAGGAGAGCCTCTTATCGTCCGTTTGTTCAGGCTCTGCTTGGTCGTGGGTCATTAGTAAATGCATTTGTTCGGATTGCACAAGTGTATTTGAAGGCCCCAGGCTTCCACAGCACGCCAGGAGCAGACACAGCCAACACTTTGAGAAGCGACACCCTGGCGGGACATAGGTGGGACTAGACTGGATACTGGTAGAGTGCAGGTGTGCAGGGCAGGCACCTGGCACGCAGTGAGGGCCTGCTGTGCGCTGGGGGAGGCGCGCAGCACCTGGCCACGGATGGGGTCAGACCAGGGCTCCGAATCTGTACCCGCTGCTGACCGGCCGTGTGCTTTGGGGCCACACACTCATCTTTCTGAGCTTCAGCGCCTTCACGTGCACCGAGAATTCCTAATCGTGTGGTGTGCGTGTCGTAGAGTGGCTGCATCGTCGCCTCATTCATTCCTCACTCTGTGAAAAGGCAGGGATTCGCCCTCCCCACTTTGCAGATGAGGACGCTGAGGCTCCGAGGTCAAGTTAACTGACCGGAGTCATACAGCCAAGAGAGGAGCCCTCCTGGGTTCTAAAGTCCCCGCTCCGTGCCTCGACCTTGGCCTCGGACATCAGCCAGCCAGGTTAGCCGTCAGCCTTCATAACGTACTGAGGGATTGGAGCCAGGGGTGTAATGTGACCTCACCCAGGGCTTCTCGTTGGCCGACTGGTGGCTGCCGGTGGGCTGGGTAGGGGAGTGCGGGCCTCTCCCAAAGTGCGTTCAGGCCTGGTGGCAGACGAGCCAGTCGGCTGCTCTCAGCCTGCAGGTTGTGGTTTGCATGGCTCCCTTCCTCCTGACGCCGAGGGCCCCGCCGCCGGGGGCTCCCCGCCTGCCTCCCAGGCGGCCCATCTTGGTAGATGTGGATTTCCATGTATGGGCTCAACACGGCTCATCCCAGACCCCGGGTTGACGTTGCACGCCCGGGTCTTTTTTCTTCTCTCTCTCCTCCAGCTTCCTGGAAGATGTCCTGTGTTTTTTATGGGTGCTGTCACTGTAATTAACCTTCTCTGAATTCGGCAGGGGGCTTGACTCAGGCTGCATCCGGGAAGGAAGGGTGCAGCAGTTTCGTATTTCTGCCACTCGCTTGCTGAGTGGTCAGTCTACCTGCTGGACTCCCCTCCCCTGGACCTCAGTTTCCCCATCTGTGGAATGAGCCTGCTAATGTTTGAAGGGTTCGGTGAGATGGCACTTAATCCTGGATGAAAAGCGGGTGACACGCACAGGTCTCGTACAGTGTGTGGCACAGCCATGCGTGAGCACAAACCCCATGAGGACAGGTCCCAGGTCTGCCTTTTCTCTGCTGTATCCCCAGGGCCTAGAACAGGTCCTAACGGGGCTCCAGAAACAAGTGCTGAATGAATAGTTATTGCTATCACCCATGTCTGGGGGCCTCCATTTAGAGCTTCATCGCCCTGGGAGAGGTTCCTGAGAGGAAAGACGCATGAAACAGGTCACATGCACAGAGATGCCTGCGAGGAGGGAAGCATCTAATTAAATGAGGAGCCAAGTGTCTAAGGGGCACCATTGTTCCAAACCCAGGCATTCCTGCCTGGGTATGGGGTGCCCCGAGGGGGAAGGGGTGGGAGAGACTTGGCGCGTCCCGTGTACTGTGCACTGTGCAAGGCCTTTTCTGCGCCTTAACTTACTGAGTCCTCTCAAACCTTCCTCAGAGTTAGGGTATCATGCCCATTGTGCCAATGAAGAAATCGAAGGTCAGGACTTGTCTAAGCTCACACAACAAAGACGAAAGAGAGCCAGGAAGCCAGATAAAGCCCCAGAGAATGCGTCTTTCTGTTTCTCCCCCCTCCCCCTCCCCCCCCCCCCCAGCTTCTGCTTTCCTTTGGGGAAATACCCCTCCTCTGCTCTTGTGACCGGGCATGGCTGCTCAGAGTGCCCACCCTCTGGTGGCTGCTTCTGGGATGGGGCCTGAAGGCAAGCAGGGCCAGGAGTATCCTGGGAAAGAACTCTGTCTGCTGGGGCAGTGGAGATGGAAGGATGGGGCCCCAGGTGCTGGTGGCCACCTTTCCCCCTTGGGAAGGGCTTCCTGAGGCAGGAGCCAACACAGAGAACAGAGCCCCGGATGCAAAGAGGCCAGGTCTGGGTGACGTGGCTGAGCCCCAAGGCCACCTCTGCCTTTGGGTTTTTCAGTCTTGAGAGCCAATAAATGCCCATTTTGGCAGAAGCCAGCTTGAGTTGGGTGTCTGTCATTTGCAACCCAAACTATCTTGGCTTGTATCATCTAATGTGGGAGACCAGATGAGCCCTGTGAAAAGACCAAGGGGGGCGGGGAGGGTGACTGGCAATGGCACAACTGGAAAAAGGGCTTCTTGGATGAGAGAGAATGTGAACTGTGCCTTGAAGGCTCCGGGAAGTTCAACCAGCCAAAATGGTGTTGGTCTGGTCTTTCCTCTCTTTCCCTTTCCCCTCTCTCTCTCTCTCTCTCTCTCTCAACTGCGGCAGAGCATGACTGTCATGGACAACGGGCAAAGGTCGTTTCCTTGGCTGACTGTTTAGCCCACCAAGATCACACTTTATGAGTTGACTCAGAGCTTTGGGAGAAAAAGTTATGTCTTCCCTCTGGGGCAGAGCCTTTTGTCCCAAGGAAGAGAGCTGGAGGGATTTGAATGAAAGGACCAGGAGAGGAGTGTGGCATAGTATCAGTGAGGGCTCGGGAATCAGATGGATCTGGGGGGGGGGGTCCCCTGCCAATAATGGCATTTCTCATAGCTGGGGGAGCTTGTGTGACCTGTCAACCTCTCAACTCAACTTCCCTGAGCCTCTGTTTCCGTGCACGTGAAGCGGGTATATATGGTGGTGTTCACAGGGTCGTTGCAGGGATAGGGCAAGTGTTGGTCGTTTATTTAACAAACTGGAGATAGGGCAGAGAACAATGCGTGGTCTTCAGCCTTGAGGCCTTGCTACCTGGAAAGGGGAGGAAAGTGCCTGGCACAGGGCAGTGCCTGGCACATAGTCAATCTCTTTCTTTACTGTTCTTCCAGAATAGGGAAAGAATTAACTTCGGTTGTAGGAATTTGAGCTAAGCCAAGGGAACAAAGAGCCGGCAAGCGCCTCATGAGCTAGGGCCCAGTCCTAAGCTATTACCTGAGGGGAAGGTTATGAATGGTTGAGTGTGGGCTCTGCAGCTGGGGTTGAATCCTTGCTGCCCCACTCTCTGGCCCTGAATCCTTGGGTAACTTATTTAACCTACCTGAGCCTCAGTTTCTACACCCATAAAATGGGCCTTGCCCTGCCCTCTTGGTTGTTGTAAGGCTGAAATAAAACTGAGTCTCACTTGGTAAACATAAGGGAGAAGCCAACTTTAAAGTCGCGACTACCATCCCCTGGGGTGGATGTTATCGTGCTCTTTTTAGCGATGAGGAAACCGAAGCACAGAGAAGGTTCATAATAGCCCGTGGGAATGGTCTCATTCTCTCCACCCTCCCCTGAAGGATGTGTGCAGAGCCTGGCTTCCCGTGCCGGGACCCCCACTCGGATGGGGAGTGTGGGCTGCAGCGAGGGCCATCTCCAGTGAACCCGCACATCATCAACCTGCTGGCTTCCCAGGACCTCTGCCTGCCAGGGGCTGCTAGCTCTCTGAGAAAGGGCTGGGCTGAGCATGCTCCCTGAGACCCGCCTGAGGATCCCCAGCTGGGAGATCCCATGTGTCAGAGGAGAAACCCCACCCCCAGCCATTCCTTCCCCCCATCCCCAGCCAAGGGCAGGGAGAGTGAGTAATAGCTCAGAACACATCGGCCTGTTCCAGAGCGCACACCCGTGGGGGAGAGCTCTCTCCCCAGAGCCCGGGAAATGCCAGGGCAGCATTCTTGGCTGGCAGTCTCCCCTCCACTCTCCAGACCTCTCTCACTCTTCAGCCTTTCCTTCCCCATCTCTCGAGGTCGACATCAACAGTTCCCAGTGTGGTCCCTGCTCTCGCCTCCCTAGTATCAGCACACGCTTGTCAGAAGAACGAAACTCCAGCCCCCCACGCCAGACCTCCCGTGTCAGTCCGCTCAGGCTGTCATTGCAAAATCCCACAGACTCAGTGGTTTAAACAACAGAGATTCCTTTTCTCGTGTTCTGGAGGCTGGAAGTCCAAGATCAAGGTGTCAGCAGGTTTGGCTTTTCCTCACCTTGCAGAACGGCCCCCTTCTCACGGTGTCCTCGGGGAGGTCTTCCTTCTGCACGTGGACCACACGTCTGGTGTCTCTCACTGTCTGTATCCTAATTTCCTCTTCTTAAAAGGACACCAGCCAGATTAGATTAGGCCCACCCTAATCACTCTATTTTAACTTCATTATCTTTGTAAAGGCTCAGTCTCCAAATACGGTCGCGTTCTGAGGCGACGGGGGGTTGGGACTTCAATATTTGAATTTTGAGAGGACACAATTCAGCCCGCAACATCTGTTGAGCCAGAAACCCTGGAGCAGAGCAGTCTATGTTTGAAAGAGGCCTTGGGGGTGATTCTGATGCGTGGTCAAGTGTAGAAACCACCAGACTGGAGCTTAGAGCACCCATGAGGTGCCCAGCCCAATGCCAGTCACTTAATCGGTCAACAAATGGTCTTAGCCACTGACAGATGGGTCCTGGGGTCACACATAAAGGAGCTCCCCGCTTTGCCCTCATGGAGAGCACACACGGTCTGGACAGAGAGACAGGCATGACAACTGATTTAAAATATTCCATTGAACGGTTGCGAGTGAACCCAGGGCTGCAAGGGAGGTCTCTGGTGTGCCCTAGAGAAGCAAAGCCTTCTGGGAAGAAGCAAGGTTGCAGCCTGGACGTGAGGCCGAGTGGTAGTTACCAGGCAGGAAGCAGGTGGTTCCAGATGAGTGCCCCATGCTGAAGGAGAGTACGTATGCTGGGAGCCTTGAATAGGACTGTGGCACCCCAGGGAGTGTGCAAGGCAATTCCTTGGGGTGGAGGAAGAAAATAAAATCTCCATTTACTTTTTATCTGGTTGTTTAATTCATTTAAATTATATTTGAGGGGCGCCTGGGTGGCTCAGTCGGTTAAGCGTCCGACTTCAGCCAGGTCACGATCTCGCGGTCCGGGAGTTCGAGCCCCACGTCGGGCTCTGGGCTGATGGCTCAGAGCCTGGAGCCTGTTTCCGATTCTGTGTCTCCCTCTCTCTCTGTCCCTCCCCCGTTCATGCTCTGTCTCTCTCTGTCTCAAAAATAAATAAATGTTAAAAAAAATTAAAAAAAATTATATTTGAATATATTTTAGATACATACGATAGGTTAGCACAGTAGTACACGGAACTAATTTTTAAATTAAAAAGGGTACAGACATTGGGGGTGTGCTGAAAAATTGTAAGGGATGAGATGCATGTCAACAAACTTTGGAGACCACTGGTGTACGTGTGGGTGTGCGTGTCTAGGAAACCTTGGTTTGCGAGCATAATTTGTTCTGGAAACATGCTTGTAATCAAAAGCATTTGTCTATCAACGTTGAATTTCCCCATAAGAAAAAAAGGAAACTCAGATGATCTGTTCTACAGCCCCCCAAAATAAACAAAGTAACCTGCACGTAATTGGGTGAGGTGAGGGAGACAAGAGAGAAGAGGGTTATTGTGTAGGACAACTTTCACTATTATTAGCGGATGTTGACTACAGTACAGTATTAATAAACTTGTCATCTACTGTGTTTAGTGTAACTGGCAATAAAGCAGCAGAGGGAAAGGTCTGTATCTGCAGGCAGCCTGACCTAGAATGGAGCAAAGCATTCCTAAGCTTACTCTTGAATGGAAAAGCAAGGGGCTGTCCATGTGCTTTGAAGTGACAAAAAATACACTAGTGCCAGCTGTGGGCACCTTCCAACGTTCTGAAAAATCACTGATTTCTGACAACACTGTGGCCTGAGACCGGGCACCTGAGCATGGGAGATAATCACCCCCAATCCCGCAGAGAGAGAGAGAGAAGAACCATTGGCTCAGTTGTGATCATATGACATTCAGCATCATGTACCACTCGTATTGCAAGACATCGCTCATTTATGAAGTTAAAACTTATTAGAAATGTTTGCTCAGAACAAGCTACTCGGGATCCACTGAAGATGTTTGAACAGGAGAGGGGGTCAATCAGATTTAAAAATAACCATCTGGCTCTCTGCCCCTCCCTCACTCAGTCTCTCTCTCTCTCTCTCTCAACAAATAAACATTAAAAAATATAGAAATCTTTGGGGTGCCAGGTGGCTCTCAGTCGGTTAAGTGCCCAACTTCGACTCAGGTCATGATCTCACACTTTGTGAGTTCGAGCCCCACATTGGGCTCTGTGCTGACAGTGTGGAGCCTGCTTTGGGTTCTCTGTACCTCTTTCTGCCCCTCCCCTGCTTGCACGCACATGTGCCACCCCCCAAAAAATAAATAAATATTTAAAAATAGCCATCTGGCTTCCCTCAGGAGAACAATGTGAAGAACTTCCACGCTCTTGAGCATGGCCACCTGTCGAGGTGGTGAAAGGACACATTCTGGAGGCCCACAGCCTTGTCTTGAATTCTGCCTCCACTTCTTATCAGCTGTGTGATCCTAGTTACAGTGTTCGACCTCTCCGTGCTTGTTTCTTCATCTGTCAAATGCAAGAGGCAATGGCCCAGCACAGGGCTTGCGATGGGGGTGATAGGAGGTCACGCAGGTAAAGGACTGAAAGGGAGGCTCTGCACAGAGAAACACTGTACACATGAGTTATTTTTATTGTCATGTCATTGTTGCCTCTGCCATTTGCCCGGTGCTCTTCTAGGATGGGACACTTGTCTGCTCCACCCTGCATCTCAAGCAGCCTAGACCCAATTTGCTGTGTGTCTTTGGGCAAACATGCCTTCTGTTTTCAGAACCTGTTTCTCCTTGTGCAAAATGAGGAGGACCGTGACTCGGATCAGTGGTTTTCATGCTGGGTTCTTTGGAACCCCGGGGTTCTGTGGAGATACCCCTAAGGAAGATGGATGAAGCATCTTTATTTTCATTTGTCTTATAGGCTGGGATCATGCATGAGATTTCACTTGAACAAAGGAATCCATTGCTTTAAAAAAAAAAAAAAAACACTTCTCAAAAGCTTAAATACAAATGGATGAGACGTTCTTTAAGGACTGCCTGAGCCCAGAGCTGATGAATATTGTTGCAAAGTCATAATGGGCGAGCAGTTTAAGCTGTCCATTGTAAATGTCCCCCTGGCACAGAGTTCAAGTTTCCCGTGTATAATTCCTGCCCCCATTAGGCCCAGTAATGTCCCCACAACCAGGATATATGATGCCTCTCAGCCTGGGCTGCCAGCCGTCCCCAGGATTTATGTGTGGCTCCTGCTTTCTCTCACACAAACACTGCCCGTTAATTCCTTCCATCTTTCCTAATAAGTTATCTTCCTCACTCTTGCTAATGTCTCTCACTTCTCCCTGGACTGTCTCCAGCTGGCCTCTGTGTACTCAGCGGGCCTCAGCTCAGCTGGGGTGTCTGAGCTCACCTTCGACCCGTGCTTCTCAAAGCTTTGGAGAATGTCAGGGTCTCCTGGAAAATGTGTTAAAAATTCAGTTTCCTGGGCCTCAGGTCTTCCAATTCAGGGACTGCCAAGGGATCCACGAATCTCAACATTTAAAGCCTGCAGGTTTCCGAGGGAGCAGGTCTGCTGACCGCGGTATTCTAGAGATGCCGGCCTGGGCTCAGATCAGGCTATCCAGATGGAGACCACTCCCTTTCCACTCAAATCGTTCATTTGTTTGTTGGTTCATTGATTGATTGATTCATCCATCCATCTAGCCAGCCGGCCAATAGATCCTTCCTGAGCACCCGGCATTCCTTATGCCAGGCGTCGTGCTGAGAACGACTGTCCCTTGCAAGTGCATGGGACGATCTAGGACCTTCTGACTGCGTGTCTAATGGAATGAGGTATTAGGGGCTACAGTTGGAAAGAGGAGATGAGGCAAGCTTTGGAAGCTAGCTTGCTTTGGATGCAAGCTTACGGATAGGCTGTTCCGTAATTTGGTGACCTTAGGTAAATTACTCACACTCTCGGAGCTGTGCTTTCCTCAACTGTAATGTAATAACAACAGTATGGGCGGCTCAGGGTTATTGCGAAGAAACAGGGTCATGGATGTGAAGCTCTTGGCCGATGCCCGGCACGTAGCAGTTCTCAACAAACACATTTCATTTTAGGTGGAATTTGCTTTTGATACTTAGTTTCCCTTTAATCCCCCAAATCATTTCATTGCAAGAAAAACATATTTCTATACTTTGCTTTTCGTCATTCTTTGCAGATCATGGTGCCTTTCCCCTGGGATACCCTGGGTTGAGGCATGGATAGTTCTTCTCTAACCACGTCCGTGGTTATATCTGCTCTTGATGGTGCCTGAGAGCTCAGACTCTGGTGCCAGGTGGGTTTCAATCCTGATTCCAGCTGTGTGACCATGGACAAGCCACTTCACCTCTCTGAGCCTCAAGGCAGTATCTCCATTGTAACATTATGGGGGTGTTAAATAAAATTAGGTATAAAATGCTTATCTACATACATATTAAGCAGACATGAAATATTACTGATCATTAGTCATTTGCTGAGTAGATATGTACTGAGTGCCTACAATGTGTCACACATTGGACTGCACACAGGGATGTAGCCATTAGTCCCAAAAAGGTTTAATAGTAAGCAAATATAGAGATATGTCAGATGGCATTAAGTACTAAGGAGAAAAATAAAGCAGGGGACTTTGATAGGGATGGTGTGTGCGTGCGTGTGTGTGTGTGTGTGTGTGTGTGTGTATGCGTATATGTGTGGGCAGGGGAGTGCTGGTCTAACTAGGATGCTCCAGGAAGGCCTCACTGAAAATATGATAATTTGAGCAGAGATCTAAAGTTGAGGAGAAAGCAAGCCTGTCTACCTGGAAGAGCATCCCCAGCAGAGGGAACAGCAAATGCAAAGGCCCTGAGGTACAAGTGTGCTTGGAATGTTAGAGATAAACCAAGAAGACCAGTGTGGCTGGAGCACAGCGCGTGAGGAGAGAGAATAGGGTTGTGATATAAAAGGGAGGAGATGATGGGGTACAGTGAAACCTTGCCATGATGCCATAAGTGGGATCCAAGATATTCAGGAGTATAAAACCCCATAGATTTTGTTGTTGAAAGTCAATGAAATGATAAAAGAAGCTGTGCTGAGGAAGGGGACCATGAAGTTACCACGCGGCAAGTTATGATGGCATGGCTGCACTTTAGCTTTCGTTCTGGGTGGGTAGGACGGGAGCAGGAAGATCCTTTGGAAGGTTATTTTCAGGTGAGCTGTGACAGTCCGCATCACTGAGGCAGCAGTGGTGAAGGAGTTGGATTGTGGTACCATTTCGCCTGGTCTTCTTCCATTATGAGCTCTTTTTTTTTTTTTAATGTTTTATTTATTTTTGAGAGCGAGAGAGAGACAGAGTGTGAGCGGGGAGGGGCAGAGAGAGGGAGACACAGAATCCGAAGCAGGCTCCAGGCTCTGAGCCATCAGCTCAGATGCGGGGCTCGAACTCACAAACCTCGAGATCACGACCTGAGCCGAAGTCGGACGCTGATCCGACGAGCCACCCAGGCGCCCCCATTATGAGCTCTTGTTCCCAGCCGTTCAGCTTCCCTCCTACTGGCTGTGCTTCCCTTTGGCAATTATAGGAGGCTGAGAATGTCCTGGGCCTCTGCTGCTGCCCTGGGCCAGAGCTGTCCCCAAGAAGGAGTTCCCCATGACACGTGGGTTCTCTTCACAAGGGGCTCACAATGGTATCCCCTAAGGACACATGGAAAGAAGACACCTTAGGAGTTAACGGATGCACTGAGCTCCTGTCTCCACTCAAGTCACGTGTTTAGCTTAATCTCTGACTTCTCTCTCTTGACCTCTCCTCCAACCACGTAGATAAATGGCCTCACTCTGGCGCTTGGCTCAGGTCACCATAAATTAGCTGGCTGCATACGCATGTATGCTCCCTCTTCCCGAGCCCAGCTGAACCTTCCTGTGATAAACCACCAGTATTTATCTCAGCCGTCCTGTGCGTGTCCTGGAAATAGGAATGATTTTGGATTGGGGTGTTTTCAGGATCACGGTCTGCTCCTCTTACCCCAGTGTTTGACAGGCCTAAGCCGAGCCAGAGTTAGGTTGACACATAAAACTGATGTGGGCTAAATCACGAACCCTCCAAGGGCTGCTGAGAGTTGTTATCCCTGTCTCAAAGGCAAGACACTCTTCCTCCAAGTAAGGATCCTACTGTGTGCCAGGCTACTCACAGGGATGCTGATGGAAATAAAGCCCCCTTCTCCCCTAGAAGGGCTTGCGGACCTTCCCTGAATACTCACTATGTGCTGAGAGCTGTTTTAAGCACCCATTAGTATTTACACACTTAAATCTCAGAGCAGCCCAGCTGGGCTTCTCTCCACCACGTGCACCAACTCCACACAGCCCTTGGATGGTCGTAGAGTCAGAGTGAGGTATGGTCCTGTAGTCTGGGGTCTTATGTCTGGTGACTTTCCACAAAAAAAAAAAAAAAAAAAAAAGCTTGGTGGAACCTTACTGATGGGAATAAGCACTTAACAGGTAGAAAGTTTTTCCAGGTTGCAGAACCAGTGCAGGTTGAGAAAGGTACATGCGATCCCATTGAATACCTTCAATCACCCTAGGTCCATTATCGTACTCATTTCCAGAGATCAGGGAGGTTGAGAGAGTTGCCCAAGGACACACAGGAGACATTGTTTGGATTTCTACATCTGGTCGCTAACCAATAGGTCTACTGCCTCCAGAAAGTACACGTTGTAGCTACGCTTCGTGGAGAGTCTCCCTGAGGGCTAGTTCTGGTCTCAGATGTTGGAAAGTTTGGCCAAGAATGTGCAGGACTCAGAAGGCTCTGCTAAGAAGCTTGGACCTGACATTGAGTGGACAAGTTGTAAGCAAAGCATGCAGGGGAAGATTCTAGAAGGCTCCTTCTAGAGGCTATGGCCCAGGTAGCCTCCACCACTTGCAAGAAGCTTGCCTCTCCAGACCACAGCCCCATGTCCTGCCGTGCTCTCCTCCGGACTCTGGGCCTCTGAGAGGGGCAGGATGTGACGCCAGGGCCCCCA